AATGTTAGCAGTGAAAGGGAAGCTAGAGGTCATCTAGTTGCACTGTTGCTTCTTCCTTCTTACCCCATCTTCCCCCACTCCTAGGGCAAAAAGCCCTCCAGCCTCTGCTGGACCACTTCCAGAACTCAACATCTTGAGGGAAGCTGTTCCATTGTGGGACAGCTCTAATTATTGGAAAACTCTTTTGTAGACTCTTGGGTTTACCTTGAGTTGAAAGCTGTTTTTCTCTATCTCCTGCTGATCACTGTCCTACCTTCTGGAGGAGACAGAACATATCTCATTCCTTTTACAGATGGTGGCCCTTCAGATTCATCCTTTTCCTCTATGTTAGAATCGGGTAAATTCTTAAACTATCTAGCAGCTTATTTGTCCTGAAGCATCACTTTTCAAGAGTTACAGATATTTAAGAAGTGTTTACATTATCATAAATTACATGCATAGTAAAAAGAGTATAGAAAAGTATAAAGGAAATAACCCTCTCTCACCATATTCCATCACCCATAATTGCAACACTCAGACGAAATCACCGCCAATGTTCTTGTATAATCCCTCCTAGTTTCTTTCACCATCTACTTTCAAAAAAGTCAAAATCAAAATTTCTTCAATTGCTAATTACACAATATTTTATCTACCATTTTTCATTTAGCATTACAAGTATTTGCCTCATGTTACTAATTTTTTCTGTAAACATAATCTGAATGGCTGAGTTATTGCCCTATATATCCTCCTCTTTTTATGTGTATATAATAATAAAGCTTGTGAAAATGTCGTCATCTTTACTTATAGTTCAATAATCTACTTTTTCTTTTGCAAAATATGTGTATCATTTTCCCCATGTCATCAAATATCTTATACATCATTTTATTGGTTGCATAGTATTTCATTGTATGTTTCTACATACATATCATGTCAAAATAGGGTGCCTGGAGTGATGTCAGCATTCTGGCAGAGTGAGCTTTCCCCCTTCAATGCTCCCCACCTAAGATACAACAAAAAAGGACATTCATACACCAACAGAGGACTTTCGCATAACAAAAAAAAAAATCTGAAGGTAGAGGTGGACGTACCCCAGAGGAAGTGGAAGGAGGTAAGGAGAACTCCTCTCTTTGCCCAACAACAATGACCCTGAGACTGGGATTGTGCAGCTCTCGAGAGAGAGGGAGAAGGGGTAGCCCTCCATGGGACAACTGTTGCTCTACAAGTTCTCTCCCAGCCTTTGGGAAATTCCTATAGTGAGGAGACTGAACTTTTGCAGGGGTGCTTTCATCAAGCTAGCACACTAG